AAAAAAAAACTGCAAAAAAACAAAATTTATGAAAACGCAACATACCAAACAATAGCCTTGAAGCTATTTCTAGAAGAAGACAGCCCTGGCTTCAGACAGGTCCCCATGGACCAACACGGTTCCATCACCTCCCACCCCTCTGCTGGTGACCAGCGTGGTGAGGCCCAACCGTGCCCAGATGGAGGACGCACTGTTTGTCAGCAAACGTGACAGCTGCTGCCTGGTGCTGCCACGTCCTCATCCACTTCTGCTTCTGAGCTTTACCCCCATGGCCAGCCCTTTCCCAGGGTCTTCATGACCCTCCATGGGTCAGCCGACCTCTCCCGTGCTCTACAAACCGTACGTCCCCCCTGCCCAGAGACAGACAACCCTCACCAACCCGAGGCTGCGAGAGAGGCGGGGTCTGGAGTGTCACTGTTCCTGCACAGTGTGAGGAAGGCAAGTGGGAGAGGAAGGTCTCTGCGTGGACCCATGTGAGCCAGACCAGTGTCTGCCCCTCACACCCCTACTCCCCATCACACCTCTCTCTCCAGTTGCCTTGTGTCTTGAGAGGAAACTGTTACCAGACATTCGGCAAAGTTTTTACAACCTCCTGAGGCTCGGGTTACAATGGAGACAGGCATGGGAGGTCTGGGTGGGCTCTGTGATTCTGCTCGTCTCATCACATCTCTGTTTGGGTAGCAAGACTGTAGGGTGTTTCCCATGGAATGATGGGGCTGGGCAGAGTCGGGAGGCCTGCCAGCCTGGCCGTCCACATTGATGCCCACACTCCGGTCCACTGTGGCACACCCACTCCCTCTACTTTGACTTAATTCAGTGTCCCCAACTCAGCGTCCCCAAACCAGACAGAATCTGGGGAAGCCTATCACCAGCTTTTCCAAAATCAAAATCGAAATCCCATATTTTCCAGCCATAACCCCTCACAGGTCAACTGCCAGGGCAGCTGTCTCTGCTCAGGGGTAGAATTACATCAGCCCAGCGCCATCAGTCTTATCTCTGCTGATCAGGACTCCAGCCAGCTTTGATGAATTAATTTACAAAATGGCAAAACAAATAAACCACTTCTAATAAATACAGTTTGTTTGATACACAGAACCTTTCAAAGCAGAATGTGGGGATGATGAAAGGGGATGAATAATGAAAAGAATCCTTGGTCATGAAATGGCTGGGAACCATTATGTCCCGCACCCCCCCATCCCCACCTCAGGCTCCCTGACATGGAAATGAGCTGCCTGGGAGAGGTGTGGAATTAACCCCTTCCTATCCACCACCACTCAGGCCCCACAACGGTTTGCTGGGTAGCTCTGCAAGGCCTGGGGAGAGAAGACTCCTGCACGTACCAAGAGGCAGGTGCATCAGGATGATACTGCTCTCTAGAGGGAAGTGGACAGGATGGGAAACCAAAGAAGTCCCACAGTCCAGGGTGGATTCTGTGACTACTGGAGGCCCAGCTCCACCAGTTTCCCTGGACTGGACCCATATACAAGTGTAACCATAGGCCTTTCCCGTCTCCTCCAGAACACTCAAGGGATTCCCAGTCCTTTGGTCAAACAAACACCATTAACATAAAGCTATTTCTCTTCCCTCCTCCATTCCTGGGGAAGGAGGCCCCCCCTTTCCCATGTGACACTTGTTGATGGCCCTTTGTTAATGTTGTTGGCAGACTTTGATATTATGATAACAACTGATATTAATAGAGTGTTTTCTATGTGCCAGAAACTATGCTAAGCCCTCCGCATGCAGTATCTCATTTGATCCTTAACTCCCTTATTGTATGCCCACTTTACAGATGAAGACACTGAGGCCAGGGAGGTTAAGTAGTAGGTGAAGGGGTAGGGATTTGAACACAGACAATCTGACATGCTGACACTTGAGACAGAACTCAAAACCTTGCCGTACAGGTGTGCCTGAGTCCATCAAAAATACACTTTTCTGAAAAGTTGTTATTTCCTGTGCTCAGCCTGGAAATCTTTTGTCAAATCCCATTCTTAAGTGAAGGATCATTCCCTAAGTTATCTAAATAGGAAAGGCAGGCTCCGGCATGAGACCCCATGCAGACCTCACTTGGTACATCATTCACTGAAAATGCAGCTTGTAACCAAGACTCACAGCTTGCAGGGCAGGCAGCTGGGGAGATTTAGGACAGAGAAGCAGGAGTGGACCTTCCCAGGCCCTAGAAACACAAGGTATGGCCAGAGAGGCCCAGAGACATCTTTGCGGAAGTTATACAGGTCAATAAAACTAAGAGAAGGCCTCCCTGGTGGACATGGTGGGCTGAGATGACCCAGTTATCCTGGGAACCGACAGCAAGGAAGGTCCATAACTGTGTGCCCAGCTGGCTTTGTGCAACATACCGTGACATTGGTGAGGAGTGGTGGGGAGGCGTACGTCAGCACCGAGGAGGGCCCCACAACCGTGTAGCTGGGGCATACTGGCTGCACATACATGTCAGCAGAGTAAGGGCAGTTGACAGCCTCATGGGACACGTACTCGGTGTAGGGCGTCCAGGGCGCCAGGGGCTGGAGGGTGGCTGGGGCCGGCTGGGACAGCCAGCTGGCACACAAGGCACCCTCCTCCGTCACTGCAGAAGCAGAGACCTCCATGTCCAGGCAGGAAGGACCTGTGGGAAGAAGGAAATTACAAAATGCAGGTGCCACGTAGACGAGAGGCCTGGAGGAGACGAGGGCTGGGGGAGCTCTTACCCACTGCGGCGTAGGTCGCCAGGGGCTGGTGAGGCAGCACCACCTAGATGGGAGAGACCAGAGATGGTGTTCAGCCGACTGGCCCACGGAGGGGACTCACCCATGGAGGGGACTCGCCCACGGAGGGGACTCACCCATGGAGGGGACTCGCCCAAGCCCCCCTCCCAACTGTCACCACCTACACTTTGGAGGGATTTGTGTTCCCAGTTAGTAAGAAGACTGCATTTAGGAAACCAGCATCGTCTTCTTCCTAGAAGCCCCCGGCTCACACTGCTGTGTGAGTCATTCTCTCACTCAGGCCTTGGCAGTGGCTTTGTTCAGTGGGCCGGAGAGCCAGGCCCCCACCGCTCATCCCGGATAGAGGAACCTCGTGCTTCTCCCTAGCTCTGTGCTGCCGTCCGCGTGCCCCCAGGGATGCACCCTGCCTGACCCTTTTGGTGACCCACCCTCACACACAGTCACGCACACAGCACACATCACACACTTGCCCATGCTATCACATGCTCGTACGGTCACACACTTGAACATACACTCACATTCACATACACACTCACACGTATTCTCACACACATCAAACACTCTCACACACTTGCACACTCACAGAAACACTCATACACGCTCACAAATAATCACATTCACTCCCTCACTCTCACATATGCAATCACACACAGACACACTGTCTCACACACACTCACACACTTACATACTCATACTCTCATAAATACAGACCTTATGGCACACACACTCACACACACACACACACTGGCCACAGCGGCCCCTCACCGCAGTAGGGGCCACGGCCGCCCCGCTGCTGGCATGGCCTCTCTTCCTCCTCAGCAGCTCCTTCACCGGCTCCTTCACGCGGACGCCCTGGTATGGCCGGGGTGGGGCGGAGGGTTGTTCAGAAGCTGAGGCTGTGAAAAGCAACATCGCTCAAGCCCCTGGTCCTTCTCAGACAAGTCCCCACCCCATAAGACACATTTCCCCACAGAGTTGTGCTGGAACAAGGAGAAGGTGAGACTCCCTGGAATCTCCCTCCCATGCTGCCCCTGCAGCTCCCAAACCTTCTACGGCTCCCCTGCACTCAGACGATTAAGGCCCAGCTCCTTAGTCCGGAACTGCACAGCCTCCACAATGAGATCCAAGCCCATGCCAACCACTCTGCGTGCTCCGCCACGTGATCCTTCCTCGGACCCTAAGGTTTATCTCTACTCTCTCCATGTTCCCTGACGCTCTCGCCTCTGCATCTGAGGTCTGCCACGCTCAGAATTCCCTCTCCCTTCTCCCAGCCTCTTCATTCTTCCTGACCTCAGACTAAGGCCACCCTCTTGGTTGACTCTGCAGCCCATGGCACTTCTACATCCTCACACTGTCAGACCCTGCCCTGCGTGATTAGTATTCCTCCTGGGTGGCAGTTAGCACAGAGACTCTGAGTCAGACGGCGCAGGCCTCAAATCCTGCCCCTGCCACGATCTAGCTGTGTAATCCAGGGCAAGTTACTAAACTTCTCTGTGCCTCTAAATCTGACATTTCTTTATCAAAGGAATGTTGCAAGGACTTAATCAACAAAGCAAAGGGGAAGTACGTTACATCTGTGGTCCCTAACCCCTGGGCAACAGACCAGTACTGGTTGATGGCCTGTTAGGAGCCAGACTGCATAGCAGAGTGACACTACGTCTGTGTTTACAGCAGCTCCCCATCGCTCATATCGCTGTCTGAGCTCCTCCTCCTCTCTGATAAGCCGCACATTAGACTCTTGTAGAAGCACAAACCCCCCTGTACACTGTACACTGTGCATGTGAGGGATCTGGGCCATGTGCTCCTGGGAGTCTAACACCTGATGATGGGAGGTGGAGCTGAGACTGTCATGCTAGGGCTGGAGCAGCTGCAAGTACAGATTATCAATAGCAGAGAGGCTTGACCGCACAGAGACGAAAACAAATTAATTGCTTGTAGACTCGTATCAAAGCCACCCCCCATCCCAGTCCATGGAAAAATTATCTTCCATGATACTGGTCCCGAGTGCCAAAAATGTTGGGGACCACTGCAGTATACGCTTCGTATAAGATCAGGTATAGAGTAAGCAGTCAAAAAAATTCTGGTTAGTCTGCTAGGTGAATTTCTTATGCCCCTAACTAGATTATAAACTTCTTAAGGTGAAACACTGTATCTTATTTCTCTACAGCTTTCCAAGGCATGTCCCCATCAAGTTCGGTTGTTCTGGGGTGACTGATCAATTGGATGACTCAGTTGCTTTGGTTGACACGTCATTTGGATGTGCTGCCATCACCTCTCTGGACCTTGGAATGAATGGGCTAAAGTGAGTAGCTCCCAGGTTCCCAGTGATTCCCAGAACATGGGACACATGCCCGGTAGTGATCCGTGTGCCCTGGGGGCAGAGGGTGTCCACCTTGTTGCTAGGAAAGGGTTTCCATTTATTCATCATCAAAGCCAGCAAACCAAAGCAACAACCCAAATATGAGCTGAGGCACAGGGCCCTTCCCAGCCTGGGAGGACAAGCCAAAAGCAGCCATGGCTGGGCAGTCACAGCCTGTGGCTTGAACAGGACTGGGTCAGCCAATAGTGGTGAGAAAAAATGGCCCTCAGGCCTCACATGGGAAGCCCATTATCATCCATCAACTGATAAGGGTCCGGGGACCTGGACTCTAAATCAAAGGCCCGGAAGCCTGAGTATCTGTTAAACCCGGATCTGCAGTACTGCCTTGGCTGAACTTTGCTCAGTAAATACCCAGCTGATAAGGTACCATGCCCCACTCGCACCAGACCTCCCTCGGGGCTCCAGGCACAAGCAGGCAGAGAGAATCTTGAGCACAGACAGCGGGAGAAGGGAAGTGAGCCCTGAGGGCAGAGGATGTGGGGGTCAGGAATCCCAGCATCTCATTCTAGACTGCAGACCCATCCTCTGGGGTCCCTCACCTGGCCAGGTAGCAAATCACACAGGGGGGATGTGAGATACAAATACACACGTCCTGCTTCCAGAGAGTGATTCCAAGGACCCAATGTGGGTTTATAAAAATCCCCCAAGCAATTCTGAAGATCAACTGAGATTAGAACCACTGATGATCCATCTCTAATTTAACACAAGACTCTCCCCATAACATCCCAACAGGAGACTAATTATCCTCATTTGAGCTTCCCCTGTCAGAATGCGGGATCTCTGATGTATTTATTCATTCTCTCTAATGTTCCCAGGCACTAGGAATATAGCACTGAGCAGGATAGAAGCAGCCCCTGCCCCGGGGGACCTTGCAGTTTGTGGGGAAGGTGAGTGACAGAGCAGTTACCAGGAGGAGGAAAGTCACAGCCTGTGCAAGGGAGCCCACCTGGTGTCTGTGCCCCAAGAGTACCTGGGAATCTTCACCTTCCTCTAAACGGCAGTGACAGTGGACTTGAGCGCCAGAAATACCTGCATTCAAATCTGGGCTGTCGCCTACTAGTACAGATTTATTTAACATTTCTGGGTTTCAATTTCCTCATCCGTAAAATGGGAATAATAATTCCTCCTTCACACAGTTATTGTGAGAATTAACTGAAATAACACACGGGGAGCTCCCAAGGCCCAGTCATCTGGCATATCGTAAATGATCAATACATGTTAGTTCTCCTCCCTTCCACTTCCCTTCCACCTCCACCGTCCTTTGGAGAGCTATGACGTCGGGAAGCTTAACCTGCCTTGTGTTGACAAGCACCATTAATTCCTTGCACTGCTTTCAGGTGAAACTCACAATTCACAATCCAGTCATAGCCTTCTCATCTATAAAATGAGGATCACCATGGTAGGTGTGTTGTAGGGTGATTTGAAAATTACATCCAAGGTGCTTAAAGTAGAGATGAGCGAGAGCGCTTAGGTACATGTGAGCTAACATTCTCCCCAGTGGCAGTAGTAGTATTCCTTTCTGCACCCCAAAAAACACTCACCAGGCGCGCGTAGATTGGGCAACACTTCCCACTCTCTCAGCTTTTTCTGAATGACATTTTAACTCCCCCTAACCTGCCCTCCTGGGGCTTTGCTCCTGTGCACTTGCTGCCTCCCCTTCTGCTGGTGAGGCCCAGTGCTGGCCACGGCCCCCAGGTGTGGTCCAATGTGGCGGAGAGCGGGGACACTTGTCCCTCCCACACTCTGCTCTCTCTTGCTCGGGGTCACCTGTGGCCACATCAGCTGTGGCCACATCAGCTGTGTTCGCAGCCACATCACTCCACCAACACTTGTCTCCAGTTGGATTTCCAGCTATTCCTCAGGCACGAAGTGCAGTCTGAGGCATCATGCACTCAGGAAACTTGGGGGATGGAGTTATTTGGGGGTCCAAGCACTGTAGTCGCCCTCTCAGTTCCCCTGGGGGCAGGGAAAGGTTCAATCCCGCGCGCGCGTGCACACATCTCAGACCAGTTCTAAGACAGGCAGGTCTCCCTTGTCTGCATGAAGACTGCGGGGGGCCTCCTGGTCCCCCTTCCTCCCAGAAAGGGGATAAAGGGGCCATCTGGGACCCTTTAGGATCCTGTCAAGTGTTGACTTCCTATCTCCTGTTGTTTCTAAATCAGGTGAACAAAGAGGGCTTGGGGCAGGTGCTGTGAGCCGAGAGTATCACCCTCTAATGCCCAGACTTCCTTGGAACTGACAGTGTCAACAGGCGCGCCCTGCCACAACCGACCAGTTGTGGAGCAACTTCTAAGTTCCCGCCTTTTCCTATGACAGTCCCTAAACTCCCACAGCTCCCAAGGGTTTCCCGCCTGCTCACTCAAGTGTCCACAGCCAGCTGCCAAGGAACCCTGAAACTGACTCCACACCAGCAGGCAAGCTTCTGATAGTGTCTTTGCAAAGAGCCGTGAGACATCAGAATCCAAAGCCTCAGGACAATCCCTGAAGGAACCCAACAGCCAAGTGTATTTTTTTTTTTTTTTTTTTTGAGACAGGAGCCTCAAGCTGTCCGCCTGGGTAGAGTGGTAGAGTGCCATGGCATTTCAGCTCACAGCAACCTCCAACCCCTGGGCTCAAGCAAGTCTCCTGCCTCAGCCTCCCAAGTAGCTGGGACCACAGGTGCCCGCCACAGTGCCCGGCCATTTTTTGGTTGCAGCCGTCATTGTTGTTTGGCGGTCCCAGGCTGGATTCGAACCCAACACCTTGGGTGTATGTGGCTGGTGCCCTAGCCACTTGAGCCACAGGTGCCGAGCCAGCCAAGTGTATTTTGAAGTTGAAAGCTGTAGTGAGTACCTTCTGCACTGTACAGTAACACTAAACATTTTCAATTTCCCAGTGAACTCTGTGCTCCCCACAGCAAACAGCATAAGAATGGATCCCATATAATGTATAATGTATCCCAATATATACAAATTTGAGAGAGGAAAAGAAATTTGTCTGAAATCAGGATTGTCTCACTTCAGGGCCTCTGAACCTTGATTTGAGCTAACTTCAAAACAATTAAACGGGGCTCAGTGCCCATACACAGTGGTTATAGTACCAGCCACATACACCGAGGGTGGCAGGTTCCAACCCAGCCTGGGCCAGCTAAACAACTGCAACAAAAAATAGCCGAGTGTTTTGGCAGGCACCTATAGTCCCAGCTAGTTGGGAGGCTGAGGCAAGAGAATCACTTAACCCCAAGAGCTTGAGGTTGTTGTGGCACTCTACTCAGGGCAACATAGTGAAATTCTTGTTTCGCTATGAAAAAAAAACTAACCTGAAAAATTTAAAATTTTTTAAATTTAAAATAACTTCTTAAAATCATGATTAGAAAGAAAAATCTCCATAGAAAACAAAACAGGAGATCAAAATATCAACGCACCAGCAGAGAAGAGGAAAGTTCAGTTTCCCAGAGTAGAACTCTAGTTCTCAGAGATTTGAATAATCCCCTGATCAAATTGGGGCTCCAGGAAGCATACCTCAAAGTCTGAAGCT